GCGCCTCGTCCAACGTCATCCCCTCAAAACGCCTGGTCCAGGGAATCTGCAAGCGAACACAATCATGAGAGCGTGGCCAGCCAAATGCAGGCATGCACGCGCACATACATGGAAACACACACTTATACAGACACAGACGAAGTCACAGACATACAATCGGGCATGCACGGAGGCACACGGGCACATAGGGCACGATACCAGCGGGCCCCTGGGATTGGCGTCCTTCCCCCTGGTCCTGTTGCCGCCTGCTCGCTTGGACCGTTTAGCCGACGACGACGACGGCTCTTCGCGAGGCGCCAATAACGATTGGGTGGGGTTCATTGTATCCTGCGAAGACCGGGGTACCATGCTGTCTCCCTCCTGGGACTGCGTCTCATCGAAGGTCGAGCCTTGGGACTGGACACGCCGCCGAGATGTATTAGAGTCCTGCGAGTCAGAAGCAGACACTCGTGCTCGAGAAGAGCCCACCCGTGATTGGGAAAGAGGAAGGGGGCGTCCTCCAAACACAAGAGACGCAGCTTGCGAAGACCGGGGTGCCATGATGTCTCCATCCTGGGACTGCGTCTCATCGAAGGTCGAGCCTTGGGACTGGACACGCTGCGACGCACTTGAGTCCTGGGTTTCCGGGACAAGCACTTGTGGTTGTTTGCGGGGAGGCGGAAACGAGCCCATGATATCTGAAGCAGACACACGAAACGCAACTCAGTTACGACTTGCAACAGCAACGATCCAACACACATGCACACACACACACACACACACACACACACACACACACACACACATAATCACAAGCACAAGCACAAGCACAAGCACAAGCACACATGCACACATGCACACACATGCACACACATGCACACACATGCACACACATGCACACACATGCACACACATGCACATGCACACACACTCACGTGAAGGAGGAATGAACCCAGCCGGAGCCTCCTCATGTGGCTGCATGCACTGCACACAGATCAACGTGACCGCTCCATGCTGCATGCGCATTAGGGCCGCACACTGTTTGTGAAGCACCCTTGAACAGCGTGTACATTCGTTGCAGTACGTTGAACTCCCCCCACACTCAAAGCACACATCAGACTCCGCCATATCCAGTGGACGGTTTCTCTTCGAACGGCAACTGGCGCCAAACACGGCGCGCCAATCGCTGCACATGTGAGTCAGCAGAAAACAATTACTCGCCACGAACGCACACCGACCACCAGTTTCGCCAATACTCGCCAGCAATCACAATTACTCGCTGTGAACGGGCCCGAAGAGACGATTCACCCCAGCGAAGCATACAATTAATCGCTGGTGCGTCCTCGCCTCTCAACCCACCCACACAGAGCCCACTCGGAGCCCACTCAAAGCCCACTCGGAGCCCACACAATACACACCACACCACACGCAGGACGGATGCTTGCGCGGGGCGTGCTGCATGCACGCCGGGAGCGCCAGCTGTTGCACTTGCATCCAATCCCGGGTGTCCTGGTGATGTCACCGTCCATTGACGCGCACGACAACAATCATGCCGACGACAACGACGACGACGACGACGTGCAGCAGGAACCAACAACAGAACGCAGAAAGCAAACCACAGCAGAGGCAGCAGGCGAAAATGTGGGCAGGGGCACCGTCAACGTCAGCGATAACGACCACCATGACGACAACGACAACGGTAACGACGACGACAGCGATACCGTCAACAACCACAACCACATTGGATCTCCTGCGGCAAGGGCCAGCAAGGCACCGCCGTCCAAAGTGTGGCTCAACTGGAGCGTCCTCATCTCGGGGTTGCCCAAACAGGACTACGCCGAGGCGTGCTTCAGGCTGCAGCTCACCTTCGACGAGGAATCTCCCGCCGTCCCGCCGCGCGTGCAGTTCCTCACCATCCCCTACCACCCCAACGTCCACCCAGTCACCGGCCTCGTGTGCATGCCCACGCTTGAGCGCTGGAACCAGCCCCAACCAATGCAGGCAGCACCTCCACCACGGACGCCGCTGAGTGACCACGCGCGCGCACGCCGCAGCATCACACCCAACACCGAGGTCAACAACGATGGAGATGACCCACACCACACGCCGTCTTCGTCTTCGCCTTCGCCTTCACGCGCGCCGCCGTGCACGCCACACACACCACCACCACCACCACCACCACCACCACCGGCTGGGCGCAATCCCTCGCAGCGACCCGCCAACTCCTATGTGGAGCTGCTGCGCGATGTGCAGCGACTGCTGTCCAAGCCCCATCTCCCTTCCGCCGTCAACGCGCCGGCAGCAAACCTGTACCGCTTCAAGCGCGACGCCTACCAGCGGTTCGTTCAGCAGTGCTCAGAGGCCAGCCTGCGCGTGCACGCCGGGCTGCCGCCCTACCGCATGCAACAAATGCAGCAGCAGGAGCGCCTTCGCAAGCAACGACAACAACAGCAGCAACAGCAGCAACAGCAGAATCAGCGCGCATCGCGCCCAACCACGCGTCAGTCGCAGCAGCGCCCCGCCACACAGCAACGCCGCTTGCAAGCCGTGCCCGTGCACTATGAAGAGTACCGTGCGTCCTGGAAAATAACCGGGTCAACGCGCCGTATCACTGACGGGGACAGCCGCCCTGACGACTTTGACGGTGATGGCTACGGATTTGACACGCGCGGATTTGACACGCGCGGTTACAGTGGGCGCACGCACAACCACGAGAGAACCCGTAACCGACACCCACACAGTCGCACGGCCACAAGAGGCAAGCATTACACCACGTCCACGGCTTCGTCCGCCAGTTACCACAACCACCGCAATAGCACCAGCACCAGCAGCAGCAGCAGCGGTGGTAGTGCTGGTGTTCGCATGTGGCCACACCCTGCAGCGCGCCAGAATTTGCTGCAGGCGGGCAGTGCACCCGGCTCGCGGATGGGGCGACGTGTAGCCTCCACCCCGCTTGCATCTGCCCGCGCCCTCCGCTCTGCTCCAGTCATATCATCATCGCCAACGAAACACACTTTCACCACCACGCCCACAGCCACCCCCTCCAATGCCACAGCCGCGCCCGTGAGCCCGCGCCGGGGTGCACCTGCGACTGTCGTGATTCCCAACTTGCCAAAGGTGTCGTCGGGGTGGTCTGTCACCTCGCTCGTGTCTGCATCGACATCACCCCAGCCAGATCTGAGCCGCAACGCCAGCCACACGAGCCTGCTGCATCGCGACAACCACCGCCATTCCCCCCGCAAACCGCGCCTCAGCCGCATCAGCAGCGTGGGGAGTGAAGCGAGCAGAGCCAGCACCCCCGTGCACTTCCCGCCCCCATCTCCATCTCCATCATTACTTCACGCCCAGCACCACACGCCCGTGTCCCCGCGGCCGATGACGTCGCGGACGGATGCAGAGGCAGACGACCTGATATCGTGGGCAGGCAGGCTGGAGGTTGCCACCCCATTTACCGACGACACGGCGCAATCGCCCACGCTCAACTTTTAATGTGCGCGTGTTGGAGTTACATGTTCGTGTGTGTATGAGTTGCGTGCGTGTGTGTACATGCGTGCGTGTACATGCTTGCGTGCGTGTACATGCGTGCGCGTGTGTACATGCTCGCGTGTACCAACTGTGTCGAGCTTGAGTTGTGCGTGTGCAAGCTGCATCAGCTCCGCACATGTGAAGTTCTGTGCAGGTGTTGTTTGTTTATATGCTTACGACCTGCCACCTCACGCCACATTTTCGTCTTTATCACCACCAAGCTCTCGCTGACGACAAAATAGCTCGGCCCTGCATGTACAAGTGCGTTTAAGGGTTTGCTCATATGCACCCTTGTATTGTGAATGCCCTTATTCAATCTATGTACAGTAAACAACCCATTCAACTCAATGAAACAGGTAGCATGAAGTGATCAACAAACACAAGCACACGTGTGTGCGCAATCAACAAGGCTTGCTTCTTTGCGGCACTGTCAACGCAAGCATCCCAACAATTTGTGTAACAACGCAAGCCAAGCAACACTACAAACCTCTTTTCTCTCTTTCGCTCACTCATACACACACACACACAGACAGACACACAGACAGACACACACACACACGCAGACACACAGACAAGCATGAAGAATGCAGACGCTACGCTGCTACATGTCCCTCAACATCTCTCTCAAGTCGTTCATATCCTCCTCCTCGTCTTCACCATGCATATCCCGCCTGTGGTGATGGCCACCGCCATAACCACCACCACCATGGTGGTGGTGCTGTGCTGCGCGCTGCGACGGTGCCATGGGTGTGGACTCGTGCTGCTGCTGTTGCTGTTGCTGTTCAAAGCCCGGCGGCGGTCTGATCTCTGGTGTAAACGGGAAGTCGCCGCTTCGGTTGAACGATGGCTGGTCAGGGTGACGCTGTTGCTGATGCTGGTGGTGTTCCGGCATGGCCACGCTCACGTTGATGTACGCTGGCTCTTCACTGCGCCGGCTGTCGTGCAGTCCAGACACATCCGCATACAGCGGCACGTGTGTCTGCAGCCCGGTGGACGAGGACGAAGGTGTGGCGGGCGATTGCGGCTGCACGTGCACGTACCCTGGTGAAGTGTCAGCCCGCACATGCTGCTGGTCTGGTGCAACGTCCAAGTACCCGCGCTTTTGCTGTGCTTTGGGTGTCACGTCCAGGTAACCCGGGCGCTGTGTCGTCGCAGCCCCTGGTTTTGGCGCCACATCCAAATACCCACGCTTGTCACCAGTTGCGTGCTGCATCTGCTGTTGCTGCTGCTGTGGGGACACGTCGAGGTAGCCTGGCTTGGCGCCAGTGACAGACGGGTGCGACATGTCGTCTGTTGCCAGCGCAAGTTCTGCCACTTCGTCCAGGTTCCACACGTCATCATCGTCATCCTCGGGTTGCTGGCTGCTGCCTGTCGCCGCTGTGCCAGCATGCACCGAGTCCACGTGCTGCGAGCGTGTCGGCTCCGCCGCCGTGCCCACAGACGACGTGTACGCCGCCTCGCGCTGGCGTTTGCGTTCTGCAGCGGCTCGCCGTGCTTCTTCCTCGTCCTCCTCGTCCTCCTCCATCACCGTCTCCAGTCTGGCGTCACGCGAGCTGGACATGATGGACGACTCTTCAAACTGGCCGTGCTGCTCCAACCCAACACCGCGCGTCGCAACAGGGGTGCTTGTCACAAACGCCTGCGTTGGCTGGCGGCTCTGTGCCTCAGCGGCGTGCTGGTCACCCTCTCGTCGCTTCAGCTCGTCAGCAGCGCGGAGCGCGCGAATCACGCCGTCAAAGTCATCCTCGTCCGTGTCGCTGTCCGATGACGACCCGCCGTCACGCTGCTGCTGGCCGTGGCGCTCTTCATCATCGTCATCGTCGTCAAACGTGGGCGCTGCCCAGGCGTCGTCGTCCGTGATGTCAACAGTGACCTGACTCGTGTCAACGAGCGATGCGTTGGGATCCACTGCAATGGACGAGAAGACGGGCTCTGCTCGCAGCAGCTCGCTGCCCTTCAGCTCACGATACCGCTTGTGGCACGCAATCGCCAACAAGCCAAACAGCCGCTGAGCCTGCAGGCAAATGGAAAATGGAAGACGGGGGGTATTTTTTTTTTTGTTTGTTTTGAGGGGGGAGGGGGAGGGTGTGTGAGTTCCAGTGAGGTTATGTGAGCAACAGGTGTTGTCAGAGCAACGGCTGCCAAAGAAAACAAAAAAGGAAGAGAGTCATCGCAGAGTACACAAACACACAGCCACACAGCATGCAAACACACAGACAGGGCACAAACACAGAGCAAAAACGGTCGTACCGAGTCGTCATCTGTCATGCGAATGACATGGCATGCAATCAAGCTGGGGTCCACAGCATCTTCTACACCGATGAAGACGTGTGCTGTCTCCACACGGCATTCGCAAATGGATGTCAGGGCACAGCTGCAGAACTGCAGTCCAAACGGGTGCAACGAAAACGTAGTAAATTTGATGAGTACAACTTGCTGTGACCCACGAAATGCAACATACACATGGGGCATGCCTCCACAACATACATCACACACACACACACACACACACACACACACACACACACACACACACACACACACACACACACACACACACACACACACAAACGCAAGCAGCGTACCGGCTCCTCTGGCTGCCCTTTGATCCTGAGCGCCTCAGGCGTGAGGGTGAGGAACGCCGCTTGCGGGGTGACGGTGTGATGCACAATGCTCATAAACGTCTCCTGCAGCTCCTTCCAGCACGCCCGGTGCACCTCTGTAGGGGGGGGGGGTTGTGTGTGTGAATGTGAATTTGAGGGTGAATGTGAATGTGAAGGTGAACAAACGGTGGCAGGGGTTCAAGCGAATGAAAAGGCAAAGTAAATGACGTGAAAGCGGAATCGCAACGGAACACTAGTGCATACACACGCACACGCACACGCAAGTGCGGGACGTACAGTCACACCGTGCGGCCTCACGACCCCCCTCCCCCTAACGCCTCCCACCTCCACAACATGCCCCCACAACGACAAACAACGCACCCGTGTGGACGTGGGTGCGGTGATCCAGGTACTGGACGTCAAAAGTGTAGGATTCCGTGTCCACAAGCGACAACTCGGCATATTTCACCTCCTCCCCCTGGCCATGCTGCTGTTGATACATGGGCTGAGGCGCAGGGTTGAGCAGGCGTGCGTATGTGGTGGCCGCGCCATCACGGAGCATAATCCCGCCAGTGCGCGGGTCAGTCGTTGTCTCGCCAGCCTCGGAGGGGAAATCAAACACATCCGTGCGCGCATCGCCAGGCAAGCTGCCGCTCAGGTCGATGAAATCTGTGGTTGCGTCCAGCTGGGAATCGCCACCAGAGATGTTGCGCTGCAGCTGCAGTGCTCCCCGGTTGATCCCGTACACGAGGCCTTCCGTCAGGCGCGCAATGCCAGATGCCACCTCCCGGTTCGATGCAAACTCCCACGCAGACGGCCGCCGTGTGGGCGACTCCAGCGGCGAGAACGAGCTTGCAGCCTCGCTTCCTCGTTGCTTCTGCTGTTGTTGTTCTTGCTCCTTCGAGTGCCCGGGGGTGGATGATACGGAAGAGGTGCCAGCCCTGCTGCCTCTTGGGGACTGCATGGGCGACACCGTGCTGCGCGCAGGCAAGCGCATGGCCCGCCCAACGCTCGGCAGGCGGCCAGCAGCACCATCCAGTCCGCGATAGTGGCCCACGTCCTGCTGCACATTGTCCTCGTGGAGCGGGTTCATTGGCACCTCGTGGTGGTCCAGGCCAGTGGCCACGCCCAGGTACAGGCTGTGGCGGTCCTTGGTGGGCGATGCGACAATGTGGCCAAACTGCTGCTCGCGCCGAAGTGCGTCCTCGTGCGCCTGCAGCTCCACATCCCGCTTGCGTCGCTGCTTCCGGCGATGCACCAGCAGCAGCACAACCAGCATGATGAGCACCACGCCGCCAACCACGGCAGGGACAATGGGAACAATGAGGGCAGTGGACCCCTCCGCTCCCGGTGGCGCCAGCGACACCGTTGACGATGTCGACGCGGCGGTTATCGTCGTCGTCGTCGTACCAGTCGCAGGCGGCGCTGTTGTTCCCGGCCCAGCGGTCGTGGTCACAGACGGCATTGGTGACGCAGCAACCTGCGAGCCTTCAAAGTTGACCTTCATCTGGTCCTGCTGCACCGCATACGCGGTTTGGTCTGCAGAGCGGCCGTCAGCGTGCACGACATCCACGCCCACGCTGCCGCGCGAGAATGTGATGCGCACCACCAGCGACGGCGGCACCCCCGCAAACCGCCACAGGCCGTCCAGGACAGCCGCCTCCAGCGCAGCAAGGCGCGTGGCATTGCCCACAATTGCGTCATAGTCCAGCGGCAGCAGGAACGACGTTGTCAGGGGCTTCTCGTCCACGCTGCCGGGTTGATCACACACGCTCGTGTTTTGCACCACGCCCACCAGCGGCGAGTAGCCCTGGGGCTTTGATACGGCAGCCGCCACGTGGGCGCCCTGCCGTGCTTGACCGTTGCTGTCAGCGGCAAAGGTGACGTTGGCGAGCTGCGAATCCAGCGCGGTGTCATAAGCAGGGGCATCGTCCACGTGACGGGTCATAAACAGGAGCCGGTCAGGGGAGAATGCGCCCTCCGTCGACACGGTCAGCTGCACAACCGAGACGCCCCCGCTGATGTTGGTCGGTGGCGTGTCACCCAAGGGAATCACCGTGCGATACAGCGACGGCGCAACGGCAAAGGGGACAGCGGCCTGAATCCACGCGCCCGCGTATCCGTCTGGTTTCCCCGGTGACAGCAGATCTCCAGCCAGTGGCTCCGCGAGTGTCCAGTTGGCTCGCTGTGCGTCGCCGGAACCCGCTGCTGGCTCAATGTCGAACACGATTGCAGTGTCGGTTGGACTCGCAGCTTGGTGCGACGCAGTGAGCGCGAGCACAGACACCTCCAGCAGGCAGCCGTCCGGGGACGGCAGCACTCGCACGCGCGGCGCAGACACGAAGCGCAGCAGGTCAAAGTTGACGGCTGCAAGGAAGGACACATCCAGCACATCAATGTGACCATTGACATTGGCGTCCATGACGCGCTTCTCGTCTGCCGACAGCGAAGACCGGTTCACGGCGGGATCCACAAGCTCGCGGCCAAGGAAGCGAAGCAGGGCGCCCGCGTCCTTGATGTCAAACACGCAATCGCACAGCACATCACCCAGCATGCGCGGCTCTGGGCACGATGCAGGGTCGCATGGCGTTGCACGCCGTGCACGCAGCAGTGACTCGCTGTCACGGGCAACACGACCATCAGCAGCGGCAGCAGCAACAGCAGTCGCCGTGGTGTCGACGGCACTGTCACGACGACGACGACGACGACCGGGGGTGCTGGCCGTGCATGGTGTGGTGGTGGCGTTGCTTGCAGCCGTGCCGATAACAACATCGACGCTGCCAGCAACAATAGCACGCGGTGTGGGCGCGCCAATGGTCAGCTGCTGTGATGAGGCATCAGCGATGGTGTTCACAACGCCGTGAATGGCGGTGATGCATCCAGAAGTAGAGTTGGCACCATTCTCAGGCGCAAGAACGCGGAAGCGGAGCGTGGCGACGGTCAGGACGCCAACCGCAGCATTCTTCTGCAACAGGCCGCCAAAGGATGCCACGCCCGGTGGGCTGTTGAGAGAAGCCACAAACACGCCGCCTTCCCACAAGGACGACGTTTGTGCAATGGAGACCGCCTGAAGGATGGTGGGGTCGTACACAATATCGAGATCAAGGGCTCCCAGCACACTGGCACCAGCGCTGACGCGCACGGGCACGTCGAATGTGGCGCCCGGCTGCTGTGCCGGCACCGGCACCCCAGACAGCGACCCGAGATCAACATCCCCATCCCCGGCTTGCAGGTTCGCAGCAAACATCCGGCTCCCCATCGCGCCTCCTACCGTGGCCCGCACCACATACTCAAGCTCAACAGCGCTGTTCCCAAGCAGCGTCACTGCGCCACTCGCGCCGTCAACCGCAACGGCCCCGCTGCTGTCGCCCCTCACAGAGAACGCCACCAGCCCACCAATGCGTGCGCTCCCGCTCCCGCTCACATCAATCAGGTCAGCGTACTTGCGCCCGTCGCTCAGCACAACGTCCACCTGGCCCCGTGACACGTGGCCCACCACACCAACCACCGTCCCCGCAAGCGTCAGGCCCTCAAACCCAACAACACGCACAGACGTGTTGGTGGCAGCAACGTCGGCCCGCGCCACAAACTGGCTCACTGCGCCAGCCACGCGCGCCTCCACGCTCGCGTTCCCAAACGCCGTGCCAGCACCCGTGTACGACACAACCGTGCCGCTGCTCACACGCACCACATCGCTTCCAGCAACCACGGAGTAGCTCACCACAGCCCCGTCCGTGCTCACGTCAACGCGCTCGCCGCTCGTCAGCACCAGCACCGTCTCCAGCACAGCCTCCTGCCACACCCCCGTGTCTGCGTATTGCTGCAGCTGGTGCACCTCCACACCACGGGAGCCGGCGTACGCGGGCCACGGCCGCAGCCGCGCCTCCACGCTCGCCGTGCCGACAACGGTGATGTTGATGCTGTGCGTCACGCTCACGTGGCTGAAGCCGATGGTCAGGGTGCCTGTGCCCGTGAGGCCGGCGCTGTTGGTGGTGACCTGGACGCGGCCATCGCTGGCGCGCCGCTGCGCCGTGAACAGGCCACCGCTCTTGCTCGTGTCCAGCACCACGCGCGCATCCGTGCTGGCATCTGTCACGTACGCCGGGAACACCAGCCGCAGCCCCAGCGTGGTGCTGGTTGGCCGCCTGCTGCTGCTACTGCCGGCTTGCACGCGCGTGAGCGGATCACCTTCGAGTGTGAGCTCCGCATCGCCAAGGGTGATCTCGATGCCCGTTGGCTGTGGAATAAACACGGGCACAAGCGTCTCGCCGGTGGCCAAAATGGCGCTGGATGAGGTGTTTGTGCACGCAGTCGGGAACAGCAGCGCATTCACTGCAATGGGCGAGTCCGAACCAACGCTGGCGGCACTTGCCACCGCCGCACTGCCTTGCACATCGAGGATGTTGGTGTTGTTGCTGGCGAAGACCACAAATGGAGCTGCTGACACGTCCACGAGCTGGTCATCACTCGTGCGCATCCACGCAGACAGCACAGCGCGCTGGCCCTCTCGGTCCAGCCCTGCCTTGCTGCGCGCTTCGATGAGGCTTGTTGCCCCGCACGCGGCAGGTGACGCGGTGTCCAGTGCCAGCTCTTGCGTTGCACTGACATACAAGCGTGTGATGTTGACTGGATCTGCGACCACACGCAGCGGTGCGGTGGCTGCCACAGGCGATGTTGGTTGCCCCGCGCCCAACGCGCTGTCCAGCACCATGTCAGTGGTGCCCAGGGATGCACCTTGTGCGTAAACGGCGATGAAGGTTGCGTCTCCGCTCACGCTAGACACGGATACAGTCGCCACAGCTGCGTCGGTACTGCGAATGCGCGTGTGAACAAATGTCGTCACGTCTGCAAGTGGTGTGGATTCCTCGCCGTCCGAGAAGGAGGCAGCCACCCGCACACGCGTGCGTTGGAACACGGGCGCTGCTGATACGTCGGAGCATGTTGCCAGAGACACTGGCAGCGTGTTCAGCACGCTGTCGTCCAGCAGTACGTGGGGGCCATCCACCATCTGCCACACGCTGAAGCGAAGCGCCGGGTTCAAGATTGGCACGGGTTGTTGTTCATCCGAGTCATCACCTGTGAGCGCCATGTTGACCACCACATCGGGGCTGGGCGCTGACGTGTTCTGCGTAAACAGCAGGCGGCGACACGTGGCAACGTCAAGCTTCACGGAGTCACCATTGGTTGCTGTGCACGTGATGGTCGAAGCAGTGGCATTGCTGGCGTCGTCGTTGTTGTCGTTGTTGTCCCGTTCGGCGAGTGTTCCATCTGCCAACACGTTGTAGAGGGCAATGGTCGTGGCAGTCTGTTCCGCAGCGTTCTGGTCGCCAGCCGCAGCGAGTGGCAGCTTGTTCCACAACGTGTAGCGGGAAGCTCGTGCCATGACGGCGACAGGCTGTGGCGAGGCGATGTAAAGGGCACCTGCACCAGCACGCACGCCGTCACGATCAAACGTGAGGCCCACCGTTGGCGTTGCCTCACCGCGGGGCCGCACAGACTGCTGCAGTGCGCTGGCGAGGGAGACAATCTCGAGCGCCACAGCACCCGCAACCTGGACGTTGCGCTGCCGATCAATGGCGCGAACGGTGATGGAGGCAATGCTTTCGGTGCCAGCCTCTGATGTGACGAAGGGGGAACCGGGTGGGAGGTACCCGACGATGCCCAACTCGTCCGGGGCAAGCTGGGTCACCTGTGCTGTGAAGCGGGAGCTCACCTGCGCACCTGTCACCTCCAACATCGCACCAGACACGGACACCTTGAACGCAAACGCGCCAACAGACGCGCCCGTGTTGGCATTCAGCGCCATCGCGGCGGTCTCGCCTGGTGCGAGCCGCTGCTGCGGCAGCACCAGCATGGCGTCGTTGGACAGATCCAAGGACGCGGTCGTCGGAACAATGGTGGCCGCGCTGGGAAGGTACACAGCTGTGGCGTTGACCGCATCAGCAGTCACAGTCACGTCCACGTCCATCGCATCGCTGTCCGCGGAGAACCACGCTGAAGGGATGGCAACCTCTGCAATGCATGCACCGCCTGTTGCTGGGGAAGCAGTGCACGTCGCAGACACTGGCAGCGGTGCATCGGCGGAGCTGTTTGCGCTGGTCACAACTGCGGTTATTTCAACGGGCTCCACGCCGTCGCCGCTTCGGCCGTTCGCCGCAAACGCAGTGCAGTACACGCGCACAACAGCGCTGTCCTCGTACACGCTTCGTTCGTCCAGCACCACGGCGCCAATCGTCGCAACCGGTGCAACACGCTCAGTGGTTGTGCAAGGCACCGACAGCGCTGCGCTCGCATCATCGCCGCCCTCCTGGTCAGCACCAACGCGTGCATGCACATCAAGCGCAGGCGGGAAGGGGTTGGTGCCAAACTGCTCTGCAAAGCCAACCGTCCTGTAGCGGTTTGCGCTCGGGAACGTGGGCAGCTGGGCCGCCCGCGCAACAGATGCGATGCTGGTTGCAGCAGCAGCAGCAACATTGGGTCCGCTATTGCCGTTCGTGTCTGTGGTGCTGTTGTGGGCTGCGCTGAGGAAGAGCAGGGCATCGATGCTGGATGCAACCTGGTATGGTGGGAAGAACGCGCGCAGCTCACACTCAACATTCGTTGTCTCTGTTCCGTTGCGAACGAGCACCTCGTCATCGGCGCACACCGTGTAAGGTTCGCAAGTGAGTGGCTGCACGCCGAGCGGGGATGTGCGGTAGTGGTTGCTGGGGCACTTGGTTGGGGGCAGGCACGCCTCAGTCGTGGCATTGACGGTCACGCTCACGAGCGGGTTGTATGACTGCACATCCACGGCGCCGTGCAGGCCGCTGTTGTCGCCAACGTCAAACTCCAGCGCAAACGGCGGGAACTCCTGCGTAACACGGCGGTCTGCATCGCCGGTGAACAGGTTGCTCACACCATCAGCGGCGATGGTAGCCTGGAACAGGCTCACGCCCATACCCGAGACGTTGTGCGAGGCCGCAAACGAGAGGGCATACGAGCCATCGCCCTCGTACGCGGCGCGCAAGATGGCGCCGTTGTGTGGGGAGGGCTTGAAGGCCACGAGCTCGCCAGCAGAGAAGTTGGCGTTGAGCAAGACAGCGCGGAGGTTGGTGTCGCGGCTCTCCACGTCAAACAGCACGTAGGTGTTGGGCGGTGCCGGCGCCTCGGCAACGCGGCCAGCGCCAATGGAGAGCAGCCCCGTGCGCAGCAGCACCTCGCAGTCTGTGGCAGCGCTCACAGGCTGGACTTGCACGTGTGTGAAGAAGCTGAACACAAAGGTGGTGACCTGCAGCATGTAAAACGCGTCCTCCGTGTTGACGTTGGTGTTGCCGTCAGCATCAGCGGCAGCTTGCTGGAAGGGTGCCAGGGAAGTGAAGGCGGGGTGGCTCGTGTCACCCTGGATCTGGTTGAGCAGCTGGCGAACAAACGTGACGTCGTTGGCATCAAAGCAGCAGTCGCCGTTTGCGTCGCCAAACTGCCTCCCATTCGGGCACGTTGCACAGGGCCACTCGTCCACAGCGCACGCGGGCTGGCACACCTCAGTGGCACGACGCGCGCGTGCCTGCTGCTGCTGCTGTTGCTGTGCTTGAGGGCTCGCAACAGCTTCGGCATGCAGCACGCTGCGCCTGCGACGCGCGTTGTTGTCAACGACAGCAACTTGAATGTCGCCTGCGGTGAACCGAGGGTCATCTGGGTTGGCAATGAGCGACGTGGCGGAAGCATCTGCCAGCGTGTTTGTCTCGCCGTACACAGCCCACACGCCGCTTTGCAGCGCCCTGAAGCGAACGGAGGCCACGACAACCGTGCCGGAGAGCCCCGTCACAGAGGCACCAATCACAACCGTGCCGGGGATGGCAATGTTCGATGAGAAGATGCCGCTGAGCTGGCTTCCTTGCTGCACGCTGATGGGCTGCAGGGCGCGCTCATCAAAGAGCACGTTGAGCTGGAGCGTGGTGAACGCGGTGTCGCTGCGCACGCGGACATCCACGTCAAACTCGTCTCCCACGCGCTGCGCGCCCAGCGGGCTGCCAGCGGTCCTGCCCAAGTCCACGTCCCCTGAGACAGGCTGCAAGTTGCAGAAGAAGGTGTCGCTGGCAACCACGTCACTGCCGTTGGACCCAGCAGCATGTACCGTGTACTCCACGGCCGAGTGGAAGTTGGTGTGCAGCGCAACCACGCCTGAGCTGGCGTCTACGCTGGCAACAGCAGGCCGAGACGTGGAGAAGGAGAGCAAACCGGGCACCTGCAGCACGCCGCTGGCGTACAGGTGCGACCGGCGCAGCTGCGTGTTGTCATCAAAGGTGACCGCAGCCTGGATTGTGGCGGTGGTGGCATTTTGGATCCCCGTGAGGGTGGATGGGAAGGACAGGTCGGTGATGGCTGTGACAAATGTACGCTCGCCTGTCACGGCGAGTGGCTGCGGCGTTGCCACAAGGGCGCCCGCAAACACGGCCGTCACATTGGCGTTGAATGGGAGCGATACTGCGGCGACACCGTCCTCCTGCACCCGCACGCGGTTCGGGCTGACTCCTCCCACGACGAGAACGCCAGTTGTGTTTGCGTTCGCCGGGTCTGCCTCAGCGCCGTACTCCACAAGTGCGTGTGTGCTCACGTCCTGCGACGTGCCATCGCTCAGGGCCACGCGCGTCTCCAGCTGCGCCTGCTGATACACATCGGTGTTGGCGAGCAGCGCCAAGCGCGTCACGGTGGTCTGGCTGGAGCCCGAGAACGACGGGTAAGGGCGGATGGCCAGGGACACGCCCTGTGCTCGGACCACCTCCACGCTCACTTCCCCAGTCACGTTGACGTGCGTGAAGTTGACGAACACGCGCGCCACGCCGGCCAGGGCAGGCGACGCGGCCAAGGCGACCACGGTGTCGTCGCTCCGCTGCGCCACCGTCAGCAGCTCACTGGCCTGAGCACCCATACCCTCGCCGGTGGCGGGCAGGACTGTGTATCGCGTGCGTGCGTCTGTGGTCATCACCTGCTTGCGGCCATCAGCAAACACCAGCGCCACGCTCAGCGTCGTTTCCGTGGCAAGCAAGGCCCCGGCAGGGTCCTGCGTCGAGGCAATCTTGCGCGCGCTCGCCGTCACCTCCACATCCACAGGCAGTGGCAGCTGCGCGTCCACGTTGATGGTGTGTGTCAGCAGCACGTTGTCGTCGCCAAACAGCCGCCCGCATTCGGACGTGTCCACAATGTCTGCCTCCACGGCCTCGCCTACAATGGACGAGAGGACCTGGATGTCCTGCGTGGTGGAAGTGCGCTCGCTCGTGTTTGTGTACACGCGAATCGCGCCCGGCGCCAGGGATCGCAGGTTCACCTGCGACTCCGCCAGCGGCTGCGTGTGCCCGTCGGTGAACACGAGCTCAAGCGCAACGTCGGCAAACTGCTTCTCGCGCGTCAGCTGCTGCGTGGCCACGACGGCGTAGGCAAAGGCAGCTGAGGCATCGGCGCCTGTCGCAACCGTGGCAGGCACGCTGGCAATGCTCAGATCAGCAACCACTGCAGAGCGGACGTTTGCAATGAACGCGCGCGGGCTGTCCACGGCGCTCACAGCCACGCTGTTGGACACGCCGTTTCCAGATGCATCCGTAGCAACAACGGTAACAGCGCCAGCGCTGCGCCCGACCAGGGTGGTGGCGCCAAACGCTTCCGTCACGCCCACAATTGTTGTGTTGCTGCTCACCAGCTGCACCAGGTGCGTCACGTCAACGTCTACGCTCGTTGTGGTGGCGTTGGACGAAGCAAGCCCAAGCACGGTTGTCACGCGGGGACGGGTGCTCTGGTACCAAGCATCGCACGCACCAGGTGCTGACACGCGGTTCATGGTGGTGTCCGTGATGTTCAGGAAGAGCGGAAGGCGCGGGTACCAAACTGCAACAGCCGCTGTGGCCCGCAGGTCCCTCCACGTGAAGGTGAGCATTGCGCTGGCAGAGCCACGGGCCTCGACGCCCAACAGCTGAGCACGCGTGCAATCAGACGACACACCGACGACATCCGTATCCTGGGAAGCACACGCCACGACGTCGCCGTCGTTGTTGGACACAGTGATAGGTGTGCTGTCCTCATCAAATGCAACGAGCGACACTGGCGAGTTCACGGCTTCGCCCGTCAAGACGGCGCTGTTCACCAGTTGGGCGGCAGGGATCATGGCAGCAAAGCCAACGGTCTGTGCTGGCGCGAGGAACACACTCGCGTCGCCCACACGCACGCCATCGCGGCCCGATGACACGGCAGCCACTGGCGTCACGAGTGGCTGCTGCTTCTCCACGTTGAACAAGCTCAACACCGTACAGCTGAGAGCCACCTCCGCCGCTGTTGTGGCGCTTGCGTTGGCGCCCTGTGTCCATGCGTCCTGTGGCTGCACCGCAACCGTGAGGGTGAACAGGAGCTCTTGCTCTGGCGCAAGCTCGGGGCGGTCGCCGAGTGGCAGGCCGTTGCCGACAACGGTGCTGGTGCCCTCACCTTGCACTTGTCCATCCCACGCGCTGTCCACGCTCATCTGCGTGATGACCAGCTTGTCTGCATCGTCAGCCACGCTGCAGCGGACCTGCCACGTGTTCACGGGGTAGTCACCGCCCTGCGCATACACGGGCACCTGGAACGTTGCGCCGGGTCGCACGGGCCTGTGCGGTGCACTGAACCACACGCCACCGCTCCCAGCAGCGCCAGTGGCCATCAATGGAGAGGAAGCCGGCGCTGTGGAGAGCGGCAGTGGCGGCGACGACACCTGCTGTGTGGGTGTGGAGCCAAGCCCATACGTCACTTGCACAGCGCGCTCTGTGGTGTTGGAGAACCACTCCTGTGGCACCGACACCCGCGCCCAGCAGGCGCTGCGCGTGGTGCAGGATGCCGTGACAGCCGGCACGGACGAAGTGAAGTCGACCGGCGTGACTGCGATGGACACTTGCGTCTGCTGCGTGTTTGTTGAGTGCAAGGCATCCCGCACAACAAGGTGCACGTTGACCTGGGGCGCATCGTGCCACAGCCGCTGCGTGGCCACTTGCGCTTCCACGCTGACAGCGGGGCTGCGCTGGAGGGTAAACGCCGCCTGCGCCTCGGAGTCGCCAAGCACAGCGCGCAGGTTACCGTTGTCGGCGTTGAGTGCATCGACAAACACACCCACTTGCCCGCGTGTGCCTGCCGGCGTCACCGTTGGCAGCTGTTGCTCAAGGAGGTAGCCCAGACCCGTGTTGCTGTTGACGGTGGCGAGCGGCAATGTCGCGTCTGGTATGCGCCCGCACTCGCGATCTGACGTGGCCGTGGGCAGGACTAGCTCCACTTCGCCTGGCTGGCACGCGGTCAGGTTGGCGCAAACCGTGTCCTGCAAGATGGTGCAGGCTGTCTTCGTGTACATGTCGCTTGTGCACACGGTGCAGTTGTCACACACGCGGTCACTTGTTGGTGTGGGCGCGGCGTCCTGGAATGTGCCCGGCTCACACGGGCCGCGGATGCGGGCACAGTCGCGATCGGATGTGGGCGTGGGCGCGGTTGTCTCGTACTGCGTAGTCGTGTTGCACTCACGCACGCGCTGGCACACGCGTGCGCTGCTCAGCGTTGGCGGGTCAAGCTCGAAGAACACGTTCGTGTCGCAGGCCGGAAGGCTGACAAAGCACTCGAGCGAGGACGTGGGGTTGGCAAACAGCTGGAGCGGGTGGTATGGTGTCGTCAGGTCAAACGTGTAGGAGGTGGCGGGTCCAAGCTGCAGCTGATACATGAAGGGACTCCCAAACTCCACGGCGCCGGTGCTGTTGGAGATGCGCACAGCACGCGAGTCTGATGTCTGCGGCGGGCTGCTCTGATCCACCGTCACCTGCAGGATGGTGAGGCCAACGTCACCGAGGTCAAGGCTGGTGAACATGTCTACGCTGTGTGGCACGGGTGTTTCGTTGTCTCCCATGTCATCACCGCCTGAGGGAACCGCCGCCTCAGCTTGGAAGATGGCGCCGTTGAAGGTTGGCGCACCCTTGTCGGCGACGACCACTTGACCACGGGTGACTGCGCTATTGTCAAGGGCCGGGCGCAGGCCCGTGTCGCGTGATTCCACGTCGAAGAACAGGAACGTGCGCTCTGGATCGGGGACGGTGTTGCCAGCACCCAGGGGCGTCGCTGAGATCCTGAGCTGGCACGCCACGGCTGCATCTGCTCCGGAGGCAGGCGACTGCGCCACCGGCGTCACCGTCACGTTGGTGATGAAGTGCAGCTGCTTGAAGAGGACGCGGATCAGGTACACGGGATCAAAGTCATCCACACGCCCGTTGATGTTGGCGTCCATCTGTTCATAGCGGTCTCGGCTGTAGTCGCTGCCAAAGCTGGGGTCAAACGTGCGCTTGGCCAGGAAGGATTGCACGAAGCGCACATCTGCGAGCGTGAAGCAGCAGTCCTCGTTCGCATCGCCCAAATGGCGGCCACCAGCGCACGGCAGCCCCGTGCACGGGGCATCGCCAGCGCGGCGGTGGCGCTCACGTGGCGCAACAACAGGGAGCAGGCTCCGGCTCCAGCCCACGTCATCGCTGTCGCTGACGTCAAGGCCAGCAGCGCTGCGGCGACGACGAAGGTTGCCGTCGAGGATGACCATGGAGACGTTGCCAGCAACAAACGCGGTGTCAGGCGCCACAATGTCGAGGGATGCATCGTCAATGAGCTCGATGATGGTGCCGCCGAGTGTGATGAGGGCAGGCGGAGCAGCGTCATCCGCAACGCGGAAGCGAAGCACGGCCACTTCCTGCGAGGAGCCAGACACGCCGTCTGTCGTCCCGCCAAAGAGGAGCACGCCAGGGGGATCGTTGGGGGTGACCAGGAAAAGGCCTTGGCCATAGGCGGAGCCCTGTGTCGCACTCACGTACTCGAGCACATCGGGTGGATAGGTGACCTCCAAGCGCAGACCAGCCACCACCTTGGCTGTGCTGGTGAGGCGCACGGGCACGTCGAATGTGGCGCCCGGCTGCTGTGCCGGCACCGGCACCCCAGACAGCGACCCCAGATCAACATCCCCATCCCCGGCTTGCAGGTTCGCAGCAAACATCCGGCTCCCCATCGCGCCTCCTACCGTGGCCCGCACCACATACTCAAGCTCAACAGCGCTATTCCCAAGCAGCGTCACTGCGCCACTCGCGCCGTCAACCGCAACGGCCCCGCTGCTGTCGCCCTTCACAGAGAACGCCACCAGCCCACCAATGCGTGCGCTCCCGCTCCCGCTCACATCAATCAGGTCAGCGTACTTGCGCCCGTCGCTCAGCACAACGTCCACCTGGCCCCGTGACACGTGGCCCACCACACCAACCACCGTCCCCGCAAGCGTCAGGCCCTCAAACCCAACAACACGCACAGACGTGTTGGTGGCAGCAACGTCGGCCCGCGCCACAAACTGGCTCACTGCGCCAGCCACGCGCGCCTCCACGCTCGCGTTCCCAAACGCCGTGCCAGCACCCGTGTACGACACAACCGTGCCGCTGCTCACACGCACCACATCGCTTCCAGCAACCACGGAGTAGCTCACCACAGCCCCGTCCGTGCTCACGTCAACGCGCTCGCCGCTCGTCAGCACCAGCACCGTCTCCAGCACAGCCTCCTGCCACACCCCCGTGTCTGCGTATTGCTGCAGCTGGTGCACCTCCACACCACGGGAGCCGGCGTACGCGGGCCACGGCCGCAGCCGCGCCTCCACGCTCGCCGTGCCGACAACGGTGATGTTGATGCTGTGCGTCACGCTCACGTGGCTGAAGCCGATGGTCAGGGTGCCTGTGCCCGTGAGGCCGGCGCTGTTGCTGGTGACCTGGACGCGGCCATCGCTGGCGCGCCGCTGCGCCGTGAACAGGCCACCGCTCTTGCTCGTGTCCAGCACCACGCGCGCATCCGTGCTGGCATCTGTCACGTACGCCGGGAACACCAGCCGCAGCCCCAGTGTGGTGCTGGTGGAGATGCGCTTTGAGGACGACGTGAGTTGCGCAACCACGTCATTTGCCTCTGCAAGGGTGCTCTTGAAGCTGTGTACCACAAGCGCTGTCGGCTGCGGCAAGGAGATGAACACCGGGCTAAGGCCAGAAGCAATGACAGTGTTGGCCGCATCGCAAGCTTCTGTGGAAGACAGGTCGACGCGAAGGATGTCACCAGACCCTGTGCCAACGGCCTCGAAGCGCTGAGGTGTGGCCGGGTTGGCCAGCACGCGCGCAACCCTCGCGTCAAGGGAGGTGATGTTCAGGCCAGGGAACCCGTCCAGCGGCAGCGTGGTTGTGTCGTTGAGCACGGCTCGCACCGTCACGTACGCGGTGTCAAACTCGACCGTGATGTTGGAGAGGATGCCAATGTCAACGGTGTGTGCTGCAAGGCGGTCCACCCTACTGGGAAGGGAGCTGAGTGCGAGACCTGCGACTGGGTAGGCGTCAATGCGACGCACACCCACTGCTGCGCCCTGTCCAACGGTGACGGTGGCTGCACTCACGATGGAGGGGGCAGGCAAGGAGATGGTGGTGGTGCCAGGCAGCAGGCCTTCCACCACGCCGGTATCGCTCACGCTCGCCACGCTGGCGTTGGTCTGTTGCAGGTGAGCGAGGACAAGGGGAAGGACATCCACTTGGCGGGTGATCGTGCTGCCGTCCAGCAGCCGCGTTGAAAACGTGCATGGGCAGAAGAGCTGTGTCTGCTGGTACACGGGCTGACAGCTGCGGGCGGGGTGGCGCAGGCCGGCGACAGCTTGCAGGTTTGGCCCCACCGCGTCCGTTGTCAGCTCAGCAGCGGTCGGCAGCCACACGCGGAAGGTGACGGGCACGAGCACGCCGAGGCCAATCACGCGGACGGCAATGCTGGTGCCGTCGGCGCCGGCCGTCTCATCGCCATCAAAGTAGACTGCGCTGCAGTCTGCAAACACCTTTAGCGTGGCGGGGTTGAGCGTGGAGCAGGACAGCAGGCCTGATGATGTGCTCACCGCAGCCGTTGTGCCGTCGGCATACGCGCCCAAGACCGTCAGTGCATGCGAGATGCGCTGGCCAGTGAGGCGCGCCACGTTGGGCAAGTCTCCTGCCCCAGCGTACGGCATGACAGTGACGAGGGCGTTTGGCTGAACGTGCACCTGCCCAAACTGCACGCCCTGCTGTTGCTGGCGGTGGCTGTGTGTGGCATAAGTTGGGGTTGGGCGACCGAGCACGGCGACGGGTTCGCTGCGCACGTTGCCGAGCGCCTCCACGGTGACGTTGATGCTGAACTGGGCAGCGTCCGGCTGGGTGGTGGCGGTGGTTTCCAGCACACGCAGGTTGAGTGTGGCCAGCAGGTCCACGTCTGGCGCGGCGTTTTCCTCCGCAAGCGTGCCGACGATGACGATGCCCGTGGGCGTGGCCTCCACCGTGTGCAACCAGCGGTCGGAGATGGTCGCGGGGCTGTCCGCGTCAAAGGCGAGGCCCGTCTGATCAATGTCGACGCTGAGGCGGTACAGGGCGAGCTCAATGTCGTTCTTGGCGCGGATGGGCGCGGTGAAGGTTTTGCTTGGAAAGAGCGTGTGCGTCGGCAGCTCAACGACGACCTCTGACGCAAGCACGACGCGATCTGCACCCGGAACGAGCACCACATCGGCGAGAACGCCGTTGCTGGTGCCATCGATGCCAAAGGCGATGGAGACGGTTTCCTCTGCCTGCGCAGCAAACCACGCCTGCGGGAGGGCGAGCTGGACCGTGCACGCGCCGGAGGTGCTATCGACGACGCACGTTTGCCGTGGGCTGACATCCTGCAGCACGCGCAGGGCTGCAGGGGCGGTGGCCTCCACGAAGACAGCCGTGTTGGACTGCACGCGGGTGTTCTGTGCCGCGTCGCGCACCTGAATTACCGCATGCACGTACGGCTTGTCGTAGTAGACGCGTGTCGGGGAGAGCAGCTGGCCGGTCACGGACGAGGCCGGCTCCCTTGCCGCACGCACCTGCTCTGAGGCAGTGCTGGGGCCAATGCTGGCGGAAATGGTGGCGGGCGTGTCGACGGGTCCGCCAAGGAGGAAGCCAAAGGCGGCGCGCGTGGAGGTGGCGGAGAGCCGCGTCAGGCCAGTGGTTGATGCAGGGAGCGCAGGCGTTGACACGCTGACGGTGGTGGGAGGGAACCAGCGGGCAACCGGGATGGGCTCGCACACCCTATCTGAGGTTGGCGTGGGCGCCACGGCTTCGTATTCGCCAACGCGGCAGGGGGTGAGTGGCGCACACACGGTGTTGCTGGTGGGCGTACACGCCTGCTTCTGGTACTGGGTGGCGGCGGCAGCGGCGGCGGCGGTGGTGTTGCAAACGTCGCACAGGTTCTGGCAGTTGTCGCCCCAGGTGGTGGAAGGGCAGACGCAGTCGTAAGCTGCCAGCAGGTTGAGGCACGTGCCACCATTGGAGCATGGGTTTGGGTCGCACTCGTTGATGTCTTCGTCGCACAGGTCGCCCGTGAAGCCAGCGGGGCAGGTGCACTTGAACCCGGACGGCACGAGGTTTGGCACGCAGTTGACAAACACGCACTCTGCGGCGGCGTCAAAGAGCTGCCGGCTGGTGGTGCCTTGCTGAAGCTTGCCGCACTCCTGCACACAGTCGAGCTCGCACGTGTGCTCCTGGTCTGAGAGGGGCACAAGCAGGCAGTTGAATGCAGAGGAGCAAGAGAGGGCGCCTGCGTCGTCTTGCAGACACGCGGAGAAGACGTTGTCGCATGTCTCCGAGCACGAGGCGATGGCGGCGGGGACGTCAAACAGGTCTGTGCAAGTGCTGTTGTTCTGGCACATGTCGGCTTCGCAGCTGAGGAGGGTCTCGCACCGGGGGCCCGTGTAGCTGGCAGGGCAGGTGCAGGTGGCCGTGTTGACGCCGTCCACGCACGTGCCGCCGTTGAGGCACATACCCTCCACGCAGTCATCGGGGTTTGTTTCGCAGTAGACGCCCTCAAACCCAGTGGGGCACTGGCAGCGGAAATCCGGCAGGAGCGGGCAGTCGTCGACAATGCACTGCAGCGCATCTTCGAAGAGCGCCTCGCCAGCCTGGGTGCTAAACCGCTGGGCACAGTCGCGAAGGCAGGCCTCGTCGCACTGGTCTGTCCCGGCGCGGGCAACTGCCTGCAGGCAAAGTAAGGTGGCATCCTGCGGGCCACTGCAGTCTGCGTTTGCCGCGCATGCGTCGATCGAAGGCTCGCAGTAGCGGTGGCAAGCCCGGGGCTCACTCACACACGTGGCGTTGTTCTGGCACATGTTGGCAATGCTTTCTGTGGTGCAGTTGAGGCGTGTCTGGCAGCGGTCGCCATCAAAGCCGGTGGGGCAGGCGCAGAAGAAGGCGCCAATCAGGTCTGTGCACGTGCCGCCGTTCAAGCACGGGTCTGGATCGCACTCGTTGATGTCCGTCTCGCAGAAATCGCCCTCGTAGCCGTCTGGGCAGCCGCAGGTGATGCCTTCCAGGATGGGGGTGAGGTCACACTCCTCGACAACGCAGGTTGCGGCTGTGGTGAAGATGGCCTTGCTTGCGTTGTTCATGATGTAGGGGAGGCCGCAGTCGAGGACGGTGTCCAGGGAGGCGGTGCCCTGGGTACCGTCTGGGATGAGGAGGCACGTCTTGCGAGGGCTGCACTGGGCGTCCTGGT